CTGTCCATCCACACTGCACTCTGGTTTTCTCTTTACAGAGGGAATTACTAAAACTAAGAAGAGGATAAAAACATCTCTTGCCTACACTTAGGGAAAATGCCTGCATTAACATTTTTAAGGTCGAGACATGAAGTGAAAGAAAGCGTTACTTTTCAGCATACAGTAACAATTCCAACTCTAAATGAGAATGTTATTTCCAAAGTGTCACATCTTAAAGTGCAACCGTTCCACTTCTATCTCCTAAAGCTGTTTCCCATTTTCCTAGTAGAAAAAGAGAGAAAAGCTAAGGGGATGGAGAGGGTAACATTTCAGATGAGAATTAGGACAAAAATCTGAAAGGCCAGAAAAGTTCCAGATACTTTTAAAAAATAAAAGAAAGGAAACCATTAAATTCTTTCTTTCTTTTGTTTTGGTGGAATTAGTGTTGGCTCCTGGAGTCTTCCAGTTTGACAGAGACACTATTTCATTGCAGCAGTCCCACGTCGAGAAAATCTGAGCTCATGAGCACTGTGTGGAGATGCCATATGGGAAGCTTTGTAAGCCTCTGGCAAATAGCTGTATAAAACATGCACTCGTGTAGTGCCTTCTGCATGCAAAGCACAAAATGGCAAAGACGGAAACCTCCCAGCACCTGTGGGAGGCAACAAATCACCTTCTCCACTTACAGATGGCAAAATTGGGCCCACCTGTGCTCCTTGTAGCCTCATCTCTGAGGAGGAAGGTAGTGTAAAATGTTGCTGCTCTAAGCCAGCATTGCATACCTATAGTTATCGAGAGAAAGCTGGGAAGCAGGAATGATGAGCCCTGCACCTGGCTGGGATGAATATGATCTAGATCATGCTCCTAGGCCATCTCCCTGTGTATTACTGTCACCCCATAACTAGTAAGCATGAATGCTCTGCAAACACACAGATGCTGGTAATACATCTATTTGGTAACTCAAGTCTGTATATGTTTTTAAAATGTATGTGAGAAATACAAATGTAAATCACCTCTGAGAGTGGAGCAATGTTACAGCATCCTTCAGCGCATGGGGGATTCCTCCTCCTGGCACTCCTTACCATCACACTAATGTGCCACATTAATAACCTTTATCTGGGGGGGCATTGGCTGGTCACGGCTCAGTGCGAGGAAGACGTTCTTCAAGGAGCAGTGAGCCAGATGATGCCCTTTATGGCATTTGCCAAGGGAAGGCACATGCTGCAAGCGTAAACGTAAATCAGTTATTCCCAGGCAGAATATGAAACAGGGTGACTGCTTTTTAGGGCCATCCATAATAAAAATGAAAAATGTCAGCATTACTCTTTCCTATTTCGCATATATCTTTCCAACTCAATATTCTCCCTGAGCATGGAACACCTTTATTGAGCATTACAATATATCGTACACACCATTAATTCAGCTTCATAATGCCATTACCAAGCAAGCAATTACAACTACCTAAACTGAGCTTCACAGCAGGTAAATATGGAGAAGCAGCCTTCACTCACCCTATAGAGTTATTCTGTTTAAAAGCTCTCCTGTCCTGTAATTACTCAGGTGCCACGTAGAGTACTATGAATGCTTACCCCTGCACAGCAATTTTTAGGTGTTAAATTTTCCCCAGTCATTTCTACAGAGATACTACAACGATTCCTTCTACAGACTGTCATCAATAACAGCAGTCTCCCTCTCAGACACCACTAATAAATGCTGAATTTAGCAGCCACGTGCACGAGCAAGCAAATCTGTGTGCAGGACTGTTTATTGCATAGAGCATCCACCGATAACAGCAGACAGGATGCAGTCTGCATGGAGATCTTACATGCAAGCTACGAGAAGCACTAGGAACTGGAATTATGCATCCATACCTTAATTTAGCTCCCTTATGCCTAGGCATTTTGATACATTTGCTAATTACACGATCACATACGATGTTTTCCCCATTTAACTCCTGCTTCGCTTGGTGCATAGGATGCTCTGTGACGGGCAGCTGTTCAGCAGGCCTCTTCTGCCAGTTCTCCGTGCAGGGGCCCTGTGCTGCTCTGACTAAGCACCAGGCTGCATGAAATGGATATAATCATCTCCTTGCCTGCTCTTCTGAAGCATGAGTTGCTGGGAAATCAGAGCGCTTCGCAAATATCACCGAATATCTTTAGAGCTCCCCTGTGACAAAAGGCATTATCCCACTTCAGAGGCATGGCTGAAGCCTGTGCAGGCCTGGTATCTTCTGGAACGTATGCCTGAATTACACCCACAGCTCCACCAAAAGTTACTCCGTGTCACCGCAGCAGTCCATGCTGAGAAATGAGAAGCAGATACTTGCTTTTCAAGGTGAGCGTGTGAAACCTTCTTCAGAAAACCTCTGAAATGTAGAAGCGGTTAGCAGCAGCTCCTGGACAAGCTCTAGGCTGTAACTCACAGCTTCCTCCAGCTCCCTGTGCAGATCACTCCCCAGAAGAAGGCCAAAGCAGAGATGGCAGGTTTGGAGGGCATTGTGTGATGTCCCTCACAGCGGGGTATTGGATAGCACCCCCCCCACACCCAGTCAGCCAGAAGCAGGGACCTAGGTTGGGGAGGGGAATTCAGCCCAGCTAGTGACCCTAGCAAACCAGTGAGAAGACCAGTAAGGGAGCTAAGCAATGACAGCTCTGCCTGGAGTACATCTGAGGAGCAAAGTCCTCCTGGCTGTCTCGGGAAGCACAAATGCCTGCGTAAGACCATCACCTGCCTCAGCTGCAGGGCACAGAGGGTATCTCCACGGAGGCAGTTCATATCAGCCTAGTGTTGCTGAAGTTAATGAAATTATTTGGCACGTGCACCTGCCTGGAAGCCACAGTTGGCCCAGGCTGTGCAACCATAATGTTACATTAATGACTTCATATGGCATTTCATCTCATTAATTTCAGCAAGCCTGTGTGTATGGGTTGCAGCCATAGGTAGAAGTGATCTTTCCTCTCTCTGTAACCATAGTGGAGCAGTGCAGGAACATCCCAAAAGAGACAGTCAATAGATTGAGACAAATTAAAGCTGGCAAAAGGTATGGCTGTTGACAGAATAGTACTGTGGTATGAAATTATTAGCTATCTTTTTCAAACAACCTTGACTTTCAAAGTGTATTATTGGATTTTGATACTTTCCACCCACAATAATGCTTTGTCTATATGAGGCAACATATAAAAATACAATGTGAGATGAAAACCTTTGTTATAGACATTTTTATTTAGATGAAAGTGAACACAAAAGAAATGTCTGATTGCATAACGATCTATGGAACTCACAGCCACAGGAAGTCATGGAGAACAATGACATTCAGGGTACAGAGAGCACTTATACTGATACGCAGAATAAATAAATTTAGAGCAGTAAATAATTAAAAAAAAAAAAAAGTGTGAGTAAAAGAAAGCCTGAAACCTCACATTTTCAGATTAAGTGATGAGGGGCCTGGAAATGTTGTCCTAATATTCTGTTTCATAGAGTTCCGTGTGCCTTTTGAAGTGTCTTCATCTTCAAACTTAGCAGCTTGATCCACTATGGAGAAATCTATATTTTGGCCTGAATAGGATCCATCTCCTTTTCTATTAGACCTATGTAAAAGCCCCTTCAGCCTCAATAAATGCAGCAATTTATAACATGCCAATGCTGGCTGACAGCAGGAGAACTGACACCTCAGGACACGGTAGTTGCTGTATTTTTCCTGCTTGATACAGGTAGTATCAGCTGAAGCTTGCCTTTCATGTAGTAGCCTAAAACTCCTGATCAGGGACTTGGAGGTGTGGGAATGATGCCCGTGTCAGTGTAAGGTAGGTTTAAACCTTTTGTTCCCAATTTTTAGGAGACTGTGCTACTCATTATGGCATAGTTGAGATAAAAGGGGAAAAAAACTGTAGAAAGGGGAAGATAAGTTTATAGGAAAGCTCGGTATGGGTACCTGTAGCACTGCTAGTGGAAACTGTACAAATGCAAAAGGCAAAATTAATGGTCTAGAGAGCAAGAATTCAAGTGAGAGCCAGACTTGTACCCCACTGAGGTGGGGACTTCATACTCTGGACTATACCAAGGTTTTTTAATGCATTTTTCCATTAATCACTGGTTAAAACTGTATGGAGAGAGACACCAAAACCAGTGGGACAGGGCTTAGATCCAAGTCTGGCAAAATCACCTCCAATCCAACATACCAGATAGCTAGAGCTAGTTACACCGGAGGGCATCACTCCTCCATTCTTCTACATGAAAGCCATCAAGTTGGCTGTATTGTTAAGAACCTAGCAGGTTTGTAGACAGATGCTCAGTTCCTGTAAATCTTTTTTGCATAACCTGGCATGAAGATTTTTTAAATAAAAATGGATAATTTTCTTATTTGAAAAACTTGACAAGTGGTAACCATATTAAGTTGTGCTCTAAAAGAGATTTTTCTTGTGACTCTGAGCTCCTTTGATCAGCAATGCAGCAGTGACTAAATTAGCACTTCCAGTTTCTCTTGTCTTGGCTGCACACATCCACTGCTTTTTGTGCGTGGCTCCTTGTAGGCACCTCCACATCAGTACAGGGGGATGCTTCAAGCTCCCATGGGCACAAGGGCCTGAAGCTGGACACTGTTCAGGGGCCAGGTCCCAAATACAGGTCTCAGTTTAGTGGACAACATGCCAGCATGTTCTGCTTCCAGCCCACCAGAATAACATGACCTCAGCACTGCCATTCTGGTACAGATCATTTTTATGCCTGGTTTGGCAAAGAACAGAGAAATTTCCATTCAATTCATGGCAAAAGCAGCAGTCACCCTCCCAGCTAAGCAGGGCTGGCCTTACATCTCTCTAAGGAAACAACCTCCTTCTGCAAGCAACCTCTTGATGTTTATTAGCTGTGGAGAAGCAGACACACACCCTTCCCCACGGGGCTGGGATCAAACCATCTTTCCTGGCTTTGGGGGCTGGAAGCACATTGAAACCTGCCAGCTCTGACTACAGTCCCTGGGCTGGGTCCCAGCACCTGCACTTAATTGTCCTTCAGAGCAGGTGGGGCCAGTCGTATTTCTGCATCCTTAAAGAGGTTCCCTCTGTGTGTACCTGGCCATGCTGAGCATTGGGATATTGCATCTTGTATCAGGGTTATGCCAGCTGACCAAAGCCTGGGCGAGGCTGTCCGCCCTCATGCCACTCTGAGGTAAAAAAAAAAAAAACTGTTTGTGGGTGCATGTAAGGGTCTGCTCCTGCTCAGGGTGGCAGTGTAACTAGTGCCACAGGTCAGAGGATGTGAAAAAAGCAAGGATCTGGGGCATTTTGCTATTTAAACAAAGTGGCATCTTTTTAAGACCTGCCACCTGCCTTCAAAGGATTATGGCAATCCGGCCTGGAGGTGTCCAAAGCCTCTGTTGACTGCAAGGGGAATAGGACTGCTGAAGAATTGTAATGAGTAAAATCCTACTTCAGCTGCTAAACTAGCTAAAATAACACTGTAAAGTAGGCTGTAAAAGCTGTTCAGTCTGTATCACTCTGTGGCTGTTTGCAGACTAATTTACAAGGGCTTTTACTCAACAAATATTTCAGCTTAAGCCCCATTCTCATTTACATCCTTGTAATTTCACTGAAGGTCGTGGGGTTGTATGCTCCATCACATAGAGCATTAAGTAGGAAAAGCGCACACAAAAAAATCAAATGAGTCATACTAAAGAGGGACTATTCCCTGCAGTCTCCAGAATTGTGCTGTTAAACCCCGAGATGGAGAGTTTAACAAAGGCTGGAGACCATTATCTCGCAGTCTCTAACCGCTTGCAATTTGCAGTCAGGGTTTAGCTGTGTGAGCGCTGCAGGATTTGGCTACCATTGAACCTTTTTTAAATGTTGCATTCACTTGAAATCTGACAGGGGCGGATTTTTTTTGTCAGAAAGCAGATAAATGAAACACCACTGTCTGCTTAATATATGGATTGTTCAAAATTCAGAAGATTTACTGTGAATCTCAATTAAAAAGGCATCTTTTAATATTTGGCACATCTATAAGGCACTGCTAATTCTCAATTATTTTCTTTGTTACATGTATATGTTCAATGTAATTGCAGCTCTGTACAGTGTGCACACACTTTCTATATCATACACAAATGTGTGGCCTTATGTGGGACCTTTTTGTATGGCTCATTCAAAATTACAATTAGGAGTCTCTTTCCTGTGCTTGTATCCTGAGTAGCAGCATCTAGTCCAAAAACACAGCAGTAAGGCAAAATGTTCCTAGGGCGAGCCAATCTCTTTTAGAAAACAGGAAAACTGTTAGCTGTTTTATGCACATGAATATTGCTTAAGTGTATAATTACATGTAGGAAATTATTTCAAACACAGAAACACAAGAAACATCAAATCAAGTGTGATTCAGTAAAGGCAGTCCTTCGCTCTGCTTTTCCATGAGGGGAAGCTGTCAATCTTAATCTGACATAGTGGTAGTTTCCAGAAATGAAAGAAAAAAGATGAAAGCAGGATTCGTTTCAGATAACTTTTTCATCTAAAACAAGGTCTATTGCACAAGCTGTTCACCTGGGATCTGAGAAGTAAGAGAGGAGAAGAAGAGAGAAACCCCACCAGGCACTTTGTCCCATCCTATACCAGGGTTTTCAGATGGCAGATTTTCTCCCAAAGCTACCAGTTCCGATCACTAGCTGGAGAAACAAACTGAAAGAGGTCTGAATCCTTATTTTTTCAGATGACTGAAACTATGTGAGTGAACCCCACCCTGCGGTCCTTGCCAGAAGCCTTGTGGGGCACCCACATAGGGAATCCCAGGAACCATGACTCAGCTTCTTGCCTTTTTCTGATCCTCTGGAAACCTCTTTGAACTCCACTTGTCAAAGTTTCTAGAGGACTTTATTCTTCCACAGGGTTTCAGTAGCTTGTGTTTGGACACCTGTCTTCTGCTGGAGTCCTCTGCTATTGTCTGTCATATGGGGTGCCGGTGTTACAGGCCAGCTGCTTCCCACAAGCCAGATGTGGAAGAGCTGAGCAAGGTGCCCTGCACCCAATAAACACCATGCATGCAAACTTGTTTGCTATGATGCACATCAGCCTTATACAACTCTAGATTTCTTCAGACCTAAAATATTTTCTTGCCCCAGCTAATTCAAGACACTATTTTTTATTTTTAATCCTTATTCTTCATTTATGAAAACATTTGTTATCATGCATTTTTTGTTTGTTTGTTTGTTTCCCTCAAGCCTAAATTATCCATCACCTGTGCCTTATTTGGGATTTTGTTGCGGCTTAAATGCTTAGAAAGGATGCACTGTGTTCGGACCATTTGACCTCTAAACATATGCTTCTGATCAGCTTACCATTACTAACCACCCTACTTTCAAAATCATTAGTTATTTAAACATTATGATGACATATTCATTATGCCTGTTGGTTTATACAGAAGCCAGAAGTACACGCCAATGGAAATTACAGCCCTTCAGAAGCCTTCCCCCAGCACCTCCCTCCTGGCTACACTGAGGCTGCTTGTGTGAATGCCCTGGGACAGCATAGCACAGCACTGCAGAACCCCTGGTTCCTGGAAGAGGAGCAGAAAGACCTCCCCTGAAAACAGAGCTGGCTGCCCTGGGAGGAGGCACGATGCCTGAGGGCCCATGGGCATCAGGATACGTCTCCAGGTCCATAAACCAGCCTAATCCCTCCACCTTCTGTTTCTCTGAACAGCCTCAATGACACAGACCAATCCTTGTGGTAAAGGGGTCATGCCATCATGCCGTGCCTTACAGAGGATTTCTCCTTGCAGCACACATCCTTGTGGGTTCAGTCTGTGATATCCTCTTGAGAGGATCTAAGCACGGGTGTAGCTAGGGATCCATCCTCCTCTGATGGCATGTTGTTTCACTGTGATTTCTGGATATACTTTCACTTTTTTTCCCTCCCAGACTGTCCAGTATATCATTAAAGTTGCTTTACATGGTAAAGAGAAAGCAGAGCTAAAACAGTAATATATTTTTCTTGTTCGATGGAAAATATAGATTTATTTTTTTTAATCAAAGTGTAAGTCTGCAATCCCATAGAGTATAACCTCTCTAAAAGACTTTATGGTTATTTAAGAGGAATGTGGGCTGTAAATAAATATAAGTTTATTACATACTTGGATGGAAATATTTAGGTTTCCCTGGTTAAAAAATGTGCATAAAAAAAAAGAAGCTATATATGCTGAACATTCCTTTGGATTTTCACACCAGGGTATACATCTGAACACAATATATTGCGCATGTAATATCAGTTCAGGATAAACTTCCAAGGATGCTTGAAGTTCGTGTCCAAACTATTCCTCTCTGCTGTATAGAAGAACCTCCCGCAAGCTGAGGTGCAGATCTCTGTGGGCTCCCTGCTGCTTGTCTGGGAGCTGCAGGCTGGATAAATGTATTTGTTTTAAAGCCAATAGAGCATCCAATGAGACCTGGGCTGTTTCTGAGTTGGATCTTAGTGTTCCCATACAGGCTTGGTATAACAAATATTTTCACACTGAATTTTTCTTTATTTTTTTCTTCACATCAGGCATTTTCCAGGTTCTACATCATCTAAAAAATCATTTATTCTTCTTGCATGCTCTGCTTTGGTTCCATATATGTGATTGTGTAGGCTTATCTTCACTTTTAACTAATGAACAGACATAGGAATAACTTTACTGTTTGCTACTGCAATAAGCAGGCCCTACTCCTGTGCCCATGTTGTTCCACATTTGGCATTTCTGAGTTCTTCATTTTCATTACTTTAAGCCTACATTTAAAGCTTTTTCATGGCAGTAAGTAGGAAGAGTACTAAAATATTTATTAAAAAACATTTCTGCTTCTTGGCAAATTATCATGCCACTTCCAGAATAGCAGTCTTAAATAGGTTTGCCACTTCATCTAGTGAAGGAAAAGAGGAGACATCCCCTGTCACAGCAGCTCCTCCTCCCGCTTGCATTGATGGCAATGCATCCACTGAAATCATCGGTGCAGCAACATGTTCTTACATTGCAAATACAAACAGTCACCAAAACACATTACAGCTTGCCACAATGAGTTCAGGAGATGAGTGTGGCAGAGAACCCCTCTTAATGGTGAGGAAGCAATGTGTGAAGCTCCAGTGAGCTGACAGAAAAACAGACTGAAAGAAATTGGCAACGTTGCCATCTTGCTTGATTCACATACTTAAATATTCAAGTCCTCTGTGTTTTCTCAGTGAGAATACATAATGTAATCAGAAATAAAGTACAGAATTCTAGTTAAGGAACTTAACCATTTTTTAACAAAAGGAGCCAGGAATAACTAGTGTGCTGCCATGCTTGGACTGACATAAATACCTCTGGTTTAAAGCCCCAATTACACTGCGATTATTTTTATTTATTTATTTATTCATTTTTGCATTGTTACTTTCATCTGCTCAATGTCACTGAAGCCAGGCTGCATTCAATGTCATCGCAATCTTTCTAACTGTTCTGGGGAAAAGCAGTGCCCTTTGTACATACAGCTGAGGGAGGCAAATATGAAGGATGAAGCAACAGACTCTGAATCTGTAGAAGCAGAAAACTTGCTCTGTCTATACTCCATAAATACTTTAAAGCTTATATTTAGAAGGGTCTTGTCTAAACAGATGATGATATATGTTGATGTATGGCATGCTAGCTCTTTAAGGTATAACTGTCAGTGTCATCTACAGACATGGATACATGAATCAAATTCCCCTTGAGTTGGCGTGCTAACCAAAACAGAAATACCCAGAGATTTGCTATTAGATACTTGCTGTAACTGCCTGCCCTAAGAGATGTGTTCTTTCCTGTAGGGAATGAGGGAACCCTTTTCAGCCCCTTGTTTTACCAGTCTGGGACTGTGAAATGTTTCCTGAAATTGATACTGGGTCCACGGAAAATAATTACAGGATCTAAAAGGAAGCTCAGAATGTTGGCCAAGCTTTAGGCGAAATATTGCCTGGTTTAAAATGGATAATCCTTCCAAAGCAATGGAGCACACCATCATCTCTTGAATGCCATTATTTATCTTGCTTTTCCTATAGCTACTGCTTTCTGGTCTGGCATTCCTTTTACAAGAGACATTCCTATCAAAGTTAATGAAAAAAGTGGGTATTCAAGGAAAGGAGCTCTATTTTAATGTCTCAGCATAAAGATGCAAACTAGGACCAGTATTAAAAACCTAAGAGAAATGGATGGAATTTTAAAGCAGAGATTGTATTGGATAGAAGTAATTTGTTCTGACGTTTTGAATAAACATTACAAATAAACCAGGATCTTCATTATACATACCACTTACTGTCAAATCATCTGCAAAAGGGTAGCCAGTATTATAGAATAGCTTTTTAGCTAGCACTCTCAGCTTTGGTTTTAAACTGAATTTAAGAATTTTAGTAGAACACACTTCCATGATGTTTGTGTAGAGGTTGTCCTGTGGGTTACTGGACAAACTGGGAAGAAAAGCTGGATTTATGTGTTTAAGTATGAGTCCGAGCTCTTGTCATAGTCAGTGAAGATCTAATTTGCATGCAGAGTGACTTTGTTCACCCAGAGTGGTCAGCTGAGATAACCTCTGGTGTCCACTGGCACGGCTGGCAAGAATACCATGGGCTAGCGTGGGAACTACGTCAGCTCCCTGAATTACAACCTTGAGTTTAGGTGTCACAACTGAAACTGAATTCCACTCCCAGAAGTTTTCTATCATCTGTGTGACCTTATGAAAGGGTAGCTCAGGGGACATTTCCAATTGGAAGCTGTGCAATACAATTAATGCTTTCGACCTTCACAAAATCAGTGCCTACTATTCCCTCCATATCTGTAGGGTTCAGTCTCTGCCTGGTAATGACTGCCATGTGGTGCTCTGCCTGGCTGCCACTGCTTATCTGGGGTCACTTCTCTCATTGTATGGGCTCCCAACTGACCCAAGAAGCTGAAAGGAAGAGTACCTTTCTGTAGCATGCTATGTGTAGAGTTACTGAGTGTTTTAAAGCTTCACAAATCCCTGTTTTAAAAATTGCATCCAAAGGAAATAGAAGCTCTTGTATTTTACTTTGAAATAACTCTTGGAGATAAGCCAGGGTGAAGTAAATGGAAAAATAAATTATTAAAAAAAAAAAAAAGCGAATGAAAGAAATAAAAGAAGTATTTACAAAATCTATTCTGTAAGTGGATTTTGAGCCTGAGCTGTTCTTATGTGAATTTAGCCAGGAAAGATAATATGTAAGTCTCAAGGGAGGTTAGTAATGTCAGCATGAGCCTGTCATTTAGGGCCTACAAAATTATCCTCCATTTTGCTTTTGCCTGAAATACAATGATTTGTATAAAAATGTTATGTATGACAAACAAGGTAAGATATTAAGTAAGGAAAAAGTGAAAATGAATGAATAGTGATAGTAATGTGAGATGAGAAAGAGAAGAAACTGACTCAAAAACTCATTTGCTAAGAGGTTTTTCACTTATTTCATACAGAAGGACTTAAAGTGTAGGGAGATGGTCCCTGATACTGGATGCCAAAATATGCACGTGGACGGTCTCATAATACATGTGCGGGGAACCTGTCACTGAAGCATCAGTGGTCCTCCCTAGTGCATGTTGCAACAAATACACTTTACCAACTTTGTTTTGGTTCTGTGTCTTTATCCTAAGCACAAGAGCTGCTGAAAGGAGGCAGTACCAAAGCATCCCTTAGCCTTGCAGTTCAGCCAGCACTGGGGAGAAGTCAACTGAAGTGCCAAGTAGGAAGTACTGGAGACTTATCACGGAGCAGATCACATTTACACTGTAATTTTCCTCCAGGCCATAGCTTAGAAAAACCTCCAAAGGTATTCTTGGCTTCCTGCAACTCTTTTTGGAATCAAGGGGAATTTTATTGGACTGTCCTCTCCCTGCCTAGGGGAAATTGTGACCACATTGAGGCCAATGATACACACATTGTTGGTAGCCTGTCCTGAACAGGTGACATTTCTCCTGGATCACAGAAAATGAGCTGTCTCCCTGAATCATGAAGTGAGTCTTCTTTTCAAAGGATTGCTATGAAGTTGGAATCAACATTGTCAAGGTCTCCCTTGGCTACTTCTGTACAGCTAAATGTTAAAGACAGGTAAAATATAGCTAAAGCATTAATGGCAAAGTAGCATATGTTTTAATTTGTAGATCAGACAGTAATTACATAATAATCACACAGCAGTCACAGTAAAATTGCTATAGTTCCATGCTGTCTGCAATTACTAATCAATATAAGCTGCTAGAACATGACTGTTATTACAGTATAGATTTAAAAGAGTTAGTGCATCTGGAATCTAAAAATAGGTGTTAGGTATGAAACTGAGTGATCAGAAAGTAACTCAGTCATGGGGACAACCTCCAACTTTGAGAACTGGTGTGTTCAGGGTAGTAGAATCAAAGTTTAACTATAATGTATGTGCCGTGTAAGTTGAAAACATGGTACAATGTAGCTTTAAACCACGGTTTTGCAATGTCATAAAATGGTAATGTAGCTAAAGGACACGGAAGTCTTTATAGTTGTATTTACTTCATGGCTAGAGTACAAAATGCTAGTACAAGTAGCTATTTCCATGTGTTTGGGAAAAAAAAAATAAAAAAAAAATCAATATTGGTTCTCTAAGTAGTCAATGTAGGTCTGCAAATTCAGGATTGAAAACCTGCCTGACCACAAAGTATATATAATTTGCATTTGTGCTTTTTCCATGTAATGCCACAATCTCAGAAAGGAAGAATGAAAGCCAAGAAGGATAGTAGGAGACTTCCACATGCGTCCCAGGGTCTGGGAAAAAATACCAAAATAACAAAGAAAGTGTAGAAGGGCCTTCTGAGGTTTGGTCTGTCTCTCAAATAAGCTTATGCAGTGATTTCTCCTTCCACCCCAGCCTTTTGTTTGAACCATAGCATTTCATTCTGTGAGACGTTCACTCATGGTTTAAAAGCTGCAAGTGAGGGCTCAATTATTATTTACTCTACCTCTTGAAACAGAAGTTTCTAAGCTGTTTATCTGCTTACTGCTTCCTGCCCTTGAATTGTGTATCTTTTTCTGTTAGAGGTCCTGCCAGCTGCAAAATGTCTCCTGCATTTAGGTTCTTTAACACTGTGATAAAATCACCTCTTATGCTTTTCTTTGGTAATCAAAATAGATGAAATGTATAGATTTTATTTCCAGAAGACATAGCCTTAAACATACCATTCTTTTCCAGCTCTGTTTTAATTCCCAAACAGTACAGCATCCCTCATCTCCCATCTCTGGACCCCCCCAGCAAAGGTCATCAGTGCCCATGGGTTATCCTGCCCATTGCCCCTGGGATAATGATCCTGGCTTGGCCTTGATGCTGAGGCATGGCACCAGCAAGGGAAAGCCACGAGCTGTAAGGCTAGACCAGGCACCTGAGAAACAAAAGTGGTGGCTCTATTGACACTCATAGTCAATTTTATATTTTGAAGTAATAAACATCATGTACAACAAAATAATGCTATTTCCTTACCACCCTTTGGCATCTGCCTGTTTACATGGTGACAGACATTGCTTGCTCTTTCAGCTATTGCATTGAACTGCTTATTTACTACAGCTACTAAGTCCTGCTAAAAGCCACTGCTTCCCCAGATATGTCCCCCACCCCCCATAAATGGGATTTATTTTCTCTCAGAGTATGACCTTACATTTGTCTGTGTTGAAACATATATTCAAATGAAGCCACCTTCCTGGGTGATCCAGACCTATGCCCATCATCTTTTCTCTCTTCATTGTTTTCTATTTTCTACAAATTCTATCAGCAATGATTTAA